GAGAGACCAGCTGGAACGCTACAGTGAGAAGAGTTCGCGCTTCTATCCAGGTAGGAAGACGGGGAAAAAGAAATAAAGAAACAAAAGGCCTCCGAGGGGGAGGGGCCCCGCGAGGAGCCGGGCTGAGGCCGGGGCGAGTGTCCCCAGGACAGGAGAGCCCCGTCCCGTCCCGGAGGAGCAGGAGCTGCACCAACCTTCCCGGGCGGGCGGAAAGGGGCTCGCAGGGAGTTGGAGCAGGACCCAGGAGGGCGGGGATGCCCTCGGGCTCCCGGGGACACTAACAGACACCTGCGAGCGCAGGTGAGTGCGCCGAGCTCCCTAAGGGCTGCAGCGCGCACGGCGGGACCGACCGGAGCAGCTCGGAGGGGCTCGGGAGCGGCTCCAGGGAGGGAGCTGCGGGGCGGGAGCGCGAATCCCACAGCGCAGGCCCCGGAGCTCAGGGCGCCGGGACACAGCCCAGGATCCCGCCTCCCCCTGGGACAGGCAGAGGCCGGGAGGGCCCAGGACAGCACGGACGCTCCTGCCCGGAGCTGAGCAGATCAGCGGCCCCGCCCCGGAGCCTCCAGGCCCTGCGGACGGAGAGCCGAGAGCCCCGAGCCCCGTAGTTCCTGCGGAGGCTGAATCCAGGCTTCCAGAGTTGCCATAGCAACTGCGGCTGATCCTCCCGGGGCCCCACGGGGTGAACAACCCCCGCTGAGCCCTGCAGCAGGCAGGGGCAGAGCAGCTCCCCCAAGTGCTAACACCTGAGAATCAGCACAGCAGGCCCCTCCCCCAGAAGACCTGCTGGACGGACCAGTGATACTCCCCCGTGTTCCAATACAACTTGTTTTTGGCCACTCTGCACTGAGCAAAATGACTAGAAGGAAAACCTCACCTCAAAAGAAAGAATCAGAAACAGCCCTCTCTCCCACAGAGTTACAAAATCTGGATTACACTTCAATGTCAGAAAGCCAATTCAGAAGCACTATTCTACAGCTACTGGTGGCTCTAGAAAAAAGCATTAAGGACTCACGAGACTTCATGACTGCAGAATTTAGATCCAATCAGGCAGAAATTAAAAATCAACTGAATGAGATGCAATCCAAACTAGAAGTCCTAACGACAAGGGTTAACGAGGTGGAAGAACGAGTGAGTGACATAGAAGACAAGTTGATGGCAAGGAGGGAAACTGAGGAAAAAAGAGATAAACAATTAAAGAACCATGAAGACAGATTAAGGCAAATAAATGACACTCTAAGGAGGAAAAACCTACGTTTAATTGGGGTTCCCGAGGGCGCCGAAAGGGACAGAGGGCCAGAATATGTATTTGAACAAATCCTAGCTGAAAACTTTCCCAATCTGGGAAGGGAAACAGGCATTCAGATCCAGGAAATAGAGAGATCCCCCCCTAAAATCAATAAAAACCGTTCAACACCTCGACATCTAATAGTGAAGCTTGCAAATTCCAAAGATAAAGAGAAGATCCTTAAAGCAGCAAGAGACAAGAAGTCCCTGACTTTCATGGGGAGGAATATTAGGGTAACAGCAGACCTCTCCACAGAGACCTGGCAGGCCAGAAAGGGCTGGCAGGATATATTCAGGGTCCTAAATGAGAAGAACATGCAGCCAAGAATACTTTATCCAGCAAGGCTCTCATTCAAAATGGAAGGAGAGATAAAGAGCTTCCAAGACAGGCAGGAACTGAAAGAATATGTGACCTCCAAACCAGCTCTGCAAGAAATTTTAAGGGGGACTCTTAAAACTCCCCTTTAAGAAGAAGTTCAGTGGAACAATCCACAAAAACAAGGACTAAATAGATATCATGATGACACTAAACTCATATCTGTCAATAGTAACTCTGAACGTGAATGGGCTTAATGACCCCATCAAAAGGCGCAGGGTTTCAGACTGGATAAAAAAGCAGGACCCATCTATTTGCTGTCTACAAGAGACTCATTTTAGACAGAAGGACACCTACAACCTGAAAATAAAAGGTTAGAGAACCATTTACCATTCAAATGGTTCTCAAAAAATACCCTAAAAACTATAGAACACTTCTGAAAGAAATTGAGGAAGACACAAAGAGATGGAAAAATATTCCATGCTCATGGATTGGCAGAATTAATATTGTGAAAATGTCAATGTTACCCAGGGCAATTTACACGTATAATGCAATCCCTATCAAAATACCATGGACTTTCTTCAGAGACTTAGAACAAATTATTTTAAGATTTGTGTGGAATCAGAAAAAACCCCAAACAGCCAGGGGAATTTTAAAAAAGAAAACCGTATCTGGGGGCATCACAATGCCAGATTTCAGGTTGTACTACAAAGCTGTGTTCATCAAGACAGTGTGGTACTGGCACAGAAACAGACACATAGATCAATGGAACAGAATAGAGAACCCAGAAGTGGACCCTGAACTTTATGGTCAACTAATATACGATAAAGGAGGAAAGACGATCCACTGGAAGAAAGACAGTCTCTTCAATAAATGGTGCTGGGAAAATTGGACATCCACATGCAGAAGAATGAAACTGGACCACTCTCTTGCACCATACACAAAGATAAACTCAAAATAGATGAAAGATCTAAATGTGAGACAAGGTTCCATCAAAATCCCAGAGGAGAACTCAGGCAACACCCTTTTTGAACTTGGCCACAGTAACCGGAGAAGGACAGTGTATGTTCTCATTCATTTGGGGAATATGAATAATAGTGAAAGGGAATATAAGGGAAGGGAGAAGAAATGTGTGAGAAATATCAGAAAGGGAGACAGAACATAAAGACTTCTAACTCTGGGAAATGAACTAGGGGTGGTGGAGGGGGAGGAGGGCGGGGGGTGGGAGTGAATGGGTGACGGGCACTGAGGGGGACACTTGACGGGATGAGCACTGGGTGTTATTCTGTATGTTGGTAAATTGAACACCAATAAAAATTAATTTATAAAAAAAAAAAAAATAAGACTGTTTGAATAAGCTTAGCAAGGTGAGTTAGCTCTTCCTGAAAATATGTGTGATGTTATCTCGCCTTAACTTCCACCCCAACTCCTTTCATTCAAATACAATCAAATGTTTAGTTTCTACACACATACACACACCCACTTACCATACACACACACGCACACACAGAGCTACCTAGACCCAACAGACAAACACAAAGGGAAACGTTCTGTGAAAGTACTCCTATCAGATGAATGCATTATGTCAATACAGCAATCACGCCATTCATTTCTATTGTAATGGAACACAAATTAATAAAATGGGGGAAGCTACCACATAGCTTTAAACTCAATACTAGATTTTAATTATGGGTCCAAGACACAAGCTAATCTTTATGGTTGGTCCATAATAATAGTCGTTGTTAAGTGACAGAAGAGAAACAGCTTTAGACGAGAAGTGGCACAATGAATCACAGCTGTCATACTTATGTACTTGCTGACTACTAACCCTGAACAGAGCATTTAATTCAAATCTCATTTAAAAGTGTGCACTGTCAAGGAAGAGGCCAAGAACCATTGCCTAGTTCAGGAAGTAACTCACAACCCATGTACCAAAGGTAGCCCTGAAGATCAAGTCAATGGGCACATAGCCTGATTACTCTGGTACCACACCCCCCTTCACAACCACTCTAGGAGCTTCTCCTGTAACAAAGCAAGAAAATGCCAAACCCTTGGCATCTGACTGCTTAAATAAGATCAATTCTTTTTCTCAAAATGCATAATTTTTGGGGGCAATATTCTACCCATTCAGAATTGCAACTGAATTTAAGTTTTCTCCGTGAAGATAGAGTTTGCCTTTTGAGCAATCTTTTTAACATTCAGTTATACTCAGTATCTATAATATATTTGTTAATGCTAAGATCCCATTGCTGTTCTAAGATTATTGCACAAAGGGGATCCTGTGTGGCTCAGTGGTTTAGCGCCTGCCTTCGGCCCAGGGTGTGATCCTAGAGACCCGGGATCAAGTCCCACGTCAGGCTCCCTACATGGAGCCTGCTTCTCCCTCTGCCTGTGTCTCTGCCTCTCTCTCTCTCTCTCTCTCTCTCTCTCTTTCTCTGTGTGTGTGTGTGTGTGTCTCTCATGAATAAATAAATAAAATATTTTAATAAAGATTACTGCATAAAAATGAGTGTTGTATATATAATACATTATTTCATATAATGTATTAAATAATAATATCTCAAACTCACTGTAGGAAAGTTGAATGTGTGTAGAAATATAGATGATATGCATAGATACAGATTTGGATATGGAAAAAGAGAATCATAGCAAAGATTCAAAGCAAAAGTTAAAATTTAGCAGCAAAATAAAGCCAATTACCTGGAATCCTAAGTAGTTCCATGTATACTCACTATTACTCATGTAATAGTTTTGTATATAGCAGTTTGACATGATATGGAAGTGGGGGTATGTTATTTAGAAGTATTAATTTGAAGGCATTACTTATCAGGTCAAAAAATATTTTCATGTCAACCAGAGATTGCCAGTAATTTGACAATTGGGGTCTGTGATATTATAATGAGGGGACGGACACTGGATTTAAGTTGTCAAAATAATTAACATCTGGTATCTATGTGTATTATGACATTAACGTTACAATTAGAATATGCAACAGACTTTCTATTGTGGTAAATAGTTTTCATTCATTCAATACATATTTACTGAACAATTCCTACATGACAGGCACTGTTCTAGATACTAGGTATATAAGGTATGAATGAGATATATACATGGTCCTGGTAAATCAGCATAATCAGGGTTACTCTTATAGCCCAGTTCTTCTGAACCTATATTATGTTATGCAAAATCAGCCGTTTTGACTTTCAAAATATTTGGGATGTTTTGTCACTTTATCATTAACTACAGAATTAAATGAATTTTGACAATGAGTTTCAAATGAGCTTTTTTGCTTTGTAGATATTATTGAAGCAAATAAATCTCTGTGAATAGTGGAACGATAAAACATTCACAGAAACTTATAACTCTGCAGTTGAATAACAATTACATTTGTTCCAAACAGGCAATTGGTTTCCAAACACATTAAACAAAGGCAATTTAGAAAGCTTCTTCTTCTTTTTGGCATCATTAACGTTGTTGAACGTCCTGGGATTCTGGAGTGTTTCACAAAGGTAAGTGTGTGGTAAGATGAGCAATTTCTGAGTCCATGAAATATTGATCTGGGAACCATCACTGAGCCAACGGGAATCCTGTATGCCATGACTGGACAAATTAGCATATTAGAGAAATTTAACAGATTACTCAGAGCAAGAAATTTCAATTTACACTTCACTTTTTCCATTGATCCTTATAATAAAGTTGTGCTTTACTCTAATCTAAAACATGTTCCGAAGGAAGATATTTTTTCTCCACTGTATAGTACCATTTTAGAATTAGAAATAACCATATTGATAATAAGAATGAATGAGTCATTATCATTAAAAGCAAATATCATTAAACAAATAGCTAGAAATCTCATGATGCTTAAGATTTGGATTCCATTCAGGCCTTTAAATCAGCAGTGACCATTTCAAGGTCAATAACAAACTGCAAAATCATTTAGTCAGTCACCTGAGACCATTCAGTGGCTTAATATGTATCATCTACCATCCATCTATCGCCATACCACCTCTCTCTCTCTCACTGACATATTCTTGGATAGCTGTGTACTTTTGAGTAAATTGTGTAACCTCTCTGAGCCTCTGTTTTTATACTTCTAAAATAAAATCAAGAATGCCAACATCTTGTTGGCTTTAGGGCTTTAGGGATATGAATTTTGGTAGAGGACCGAGCATAATGTCTGTCGCATTGTCGACACTACAGAGATCTTTATTAGTCTCATTTCCCTCCATTCACTTGTCTTTTTAGTCATATTTTATCCCATCATTGTCCCTTATCCCTTGCCTAAATCATTCGTTTACTCATTAAATAAATCTCTGTTGGAACACCAGTTATGTGGTGGGTACTGAAGCAAATTAGAAGGACACAAAGTTAGTAAGTCAATAGATGTTTAGTGCTCCTGTGCTTCTATTCTCATAGAGCTTATGGTCCAGTATAGGAGAGAGGCACTTAAATCCCATACAAGGCAGAATTATGATAAAAATCAGAAGTCCTAATGGTTCCCTGAATCTTTAAATTTCTTACCTTCCAAAATGTATGTTATTAAATTAACCCTTCACAATGTATAGTTTCTCTAAAATACCTATCTCAGTCTTGGATTAAAAACAATTAGAATATCAGAGAGTCTTACAGAAGAATCCAACAGAGGGGCACCCGGGTGGCTCAGTGGTTGAGCATCTGTCTTTGGCTCAGGTAATGATCCTGGGGTCCTGGGGTGGAGTCCTGCATCAAGCTCCCTGTGGGGAGCCTGCTTCTCTCTCTGCCTATGTCTCTGCCTCTCTCTCTCTCTCTCTCTCTGTGTCTCTCATGAATAAATAAATAAATAAATAAATAAATAAATAAATAAATAAATATCTTTAAAAAAAAAAAAAGAATCCAACAGAAACGTCCTCAGCTTTGTAGCAAAATAAAGTCATCAATGAAAACTGAAGGTGAAGGCAAAGCTGCTTTCCCTTCCTGACACCTAAGTGGTGCCCATATGCCAATGCTCATAAACCTTCAGTTTCTCAACTTTTACTTTTCCTCCCCCTGTAAGATCTGACCTTTGTCTTTTCATAAAGCAGTTTAAAAGGCGATCTTTCAAATTAGCCCAGGTAAATCCAGTTCCACGACTTAGCTGTACAAACGTCAGCAAGGTATTTAACCTTGCTAAGCCCATTTCTTCATTTGTAAAATGAAATAATAAGAATAATAATTGTGCCATAAAGTTGTGGGAGTGAGAAAATGTTCAAAAATGTTAGCTACAGTAATAACAATGCCCTCAGACTTTGTCTCATGCCCCCTGCTTCCTCCTTTTTAATTCTGCTTCTAGACTCATGCAGAGGTGTGGCCAAGATGACCAAAATTATGGGCTGAATTCATAGAAGAACTAGCACTGGAACCAGAATCTATTAGCTCAGGGATTTACTCATTCATTCATTCATTCATTCATTCATTCAACAAATATACTAAGCATTGTTCCAGGCACTAGAAAAAACAGAACTGAAGAAGGCAAAGTACCAGTCTACATGGAGCTAATATCTAGTGCTCAAATTGAATTATTTGTGATTTTTTTTAATGATAGTCACAGAGAGAGAGAGAGACAGAGAGAGAGGCAGAGACACAGGCAGAGGGAGAAGCAGGCTCCATGCACTGGGAGCCCGATGTGGGATTCGATCCCGGGTCTCCAGGATCGCGCCCTGGGCCAAAGGCAGGCGCCAAACCGCTGCGCCACCCAGGGATCCCAAATTATTTGTGATTCTTTCTCTGTGATTGTAGGACATGTAAATTAGTATAAAGTAGTGAAATATGGTGGAGTGAGGTACAGAGAAGGAGGCAGGCAAGGCTAAACTTGTACAGAGCACCAAATATTAGAGGAACCAAGGTAAGAAGGGACTAAGTGATAACGGAAGATTTATTTAGAAATAAATCTGATTCTTAGCATATCTTCTCTATTTCCCTATATCTTTTTCCTCCTTTTTCTATATACTTTTTGAGGAAAGGGGGGGAAAAAGAGAGAAAGGTTAAAACCTTTCAGGGAGGAAGGAAATTAATTTTCCAAGTGTTGCGCACGCCTATATCTTGTGCCGCATGTGAGACAAATAACATTTACTCTGCAGCCCCTCCTGTTACCTAAATCTTACCACTTTATAAATAAGAAAACTAAAGTGAAAACCTGTGTAAGTAAATTGACTAGTTTAACACACCTAGGATTAAAACCCAAGTACATTTGTTTATAAACACTTTCTCCCATAGTGTGCTATTTCTAAGTGTCATAGTAGAAACCTCTATCTACTCTGTGGCAATCCTTTGACTCTGGTGGGTAGGAAAGAAACCAGTCCCTTCAGTTAAAGTAACCATACCACCATCACCTGTTGATCAGCCACTGCATAGGGAAAGAATGGATGTCACATATCAGAAGAAAAAAGAGTCTGGAAAACGTGCCAGTAAAGATCAAGCATCTAAAACTAATGACATTAGTGCAGAGGCACACATTACTTTGGGTGTCTATTGTCCATTGGGGTGGGACGGGCCAAGCCAGAAGTCAGGCAAGAAATCATATGGAACTTACAGTAGTAGGACATCATGTCTCTGGTGAGGAGTGAATGATTCTGATTTATTTCTATCCTGAACAATCAGGATTGTTGACTATCAAACACTTAACAAACAATAAGTATGTAAAGAAACAGGAGAAAATATAGATACTCTAGGGAAAGTATTATTGAAACATATTTAGGAATCAGAAAGTACTTGATTGCAATAAACATGGAGTCACAATCCAATTTTTACCAAACCCAGCCATGTTCAGAGCCAGATAACGGCAGCAAATCTATCAAGAACAGGACGATCCCAAGTCATTCTTGTCCCTAAGATTTTGAGAACAGTATATTAATTATGAAACAGCATCTTGGCCCTAGACCTGTGTTGGCACCCAAGGGTGCCCCCATCACGGAGTTTTATGTTAGTGTGATACAATCCTTGCATAAGTCCTAGAAACAAATAAATCTTGTCAGGGTCATTGGGATATCACCTAACTCAGTACAGTTAGGAATTATCTATGAATATTAGGCCAGACTTACTTTTCATTTGTACAAAACAAAAACAAATGAAAAAACCACCCTAAAACATGACACAGCCCTCCGCCACTGTCTGTATTAGAGTCCTCCTCCATCAAATCTGAAATAGGCTAAAGGTAACATGTCATACCTGAGGGTGTCCAGGTTGGGGATGAAAAAAGTAGATAGATAAAGTGTCTCTCCCTAGCTGAAAAGCATGACATAAACATCACTATAGTGCTGAATATAAATATGTATCCCATATTAACTGCTAAAATAAAGATACCACAGATGTTTTAGGGAGGGAGAGCGAAGGGTATTTGTTTTTATAACATCACCGCTGTTCCCCCAATGTTGTAAATACATCTTAGAGCTGATACCACCACACTAATTTTGCCAATGATACCAGTAATCTTTTGTGCATGACTCATAACAATTATTGAAAGAGACATAAATCAGAGACAAAAGACTAGTTATTCAAGTACATTCTTCTCTTGCAGTTTCTTTTAACAATATATTGAGAGGGAAAAGAAGGCCTAATGAACTTTGGAAAACTTCACAGATCAGAAGTAGATGTCTGTCCTCAGAGGCCTACATGTATTTGATAAGATTGGACTTATCGCCCATACTCATTTGTTCAACCAGTATTTGTGAACATCTGCTGTGTACAAGGTCCTGGGGACATAGCAGTGAATAAAGCAGTCTGAAGGTCAAGTCCTCCTGAAGCTTACTCAAAGGTGTTTAAGAAAATAATGTGTCTTTAGACATAGTATACCATAGAACCAAAAGGCCAAGATTCTGAATAAGAACTTGATTCCAAACCAAGGCTCACATGAGCCCCAAGGAACTTATTTAAACTTTTAGAACTTCAGTTTCCCTATCTGTGAAATGGGGATAGTAATATCATCCTTCCGGGCTTATAATGAGAATTCAATAAGGTCGAATGGGTATAGTGCCTTAGCATGGTGGCTGGCACTTCAAAGACACTGAGGAAAACCAGGCATTCCTCGGGTCAGGAGTGAAGGGTACACATTCTAGAAATGTATTCATGGATTTCTTCTGTGACAGTGGTGCTTTTCACATAGGTTCAAGACCGAATTTACAAATCCCCCATGCATCTGATGAAGCTTTCATGAGTCCTGGCCTCCAGGAACATTGTTGAGTTGATAGGGTTTCAGACTTTCCAAGTTTCTTGCTGTTAGACCATTGCAGATTGTAAAAGAGCGCCATCTAAAGGCCCTTATGAGAAACCTTAATATTACCTAAAACTCTTTTATCTTGTCGCTTTATAAAGACTGTTTTGGTGAGCAGGGCTCTTAAATAATCATCACTGTTGTGCCAGTATCTATGGGCCATAATAAAAAGTAGACAAGCACAGGAAGAAAGCAAATGATTTATCAAGTCACCTACATCTGGTCCTAAAAAAAAGCTTTCTTTCTTTCTTTTTAGGTATTGTAATCTAAATCATTTTAATGCCCAGAACATCAGTGAATGTAATCTTGAAGAAACACTTCTCCTCCATGAAAAGTCTCTGAAATTTTATGGCAGTACACAGGAAGTTTCTTCGAGTATTGATCTTTGGGAGACAGCCCTATGAAACTATATTTGACTCAACCTGTCTTATGAGCAAAGTATTCATTGTTTTCTACAGCTGAACATCTTATGCATTTTAGTTTAAGAACTAATATGTATGGGAGTGACTTTATGAATATGATCTGCGTACTTTATTTATAAAGACCAATCATAACTCCTTTAGTGAACTATTATGCCTTTTACATTAACACATTATACATTACAATAAAGTAATTTCAAAGTCTGTCAGTACTCCAACAAAATGACAATTCCGTATACATTACAATATTTTGCAACTTTTTACAATAATGGTTCAGCCACTAAAAGCAATATAAATTATATTTGTTAGCTTTAATATACTAATAGAATCAAAATAATCATATGTTAACATTATTCCTTTCTTCATGTCTATTGAGCACTTATTACATGTACTTGTGTAATAAGTAATCATGTACTGTCTATGTCTGACTAAATAATAAATCTATATGTTATTTCATATAAATCCATATGTATGTATCTAATCTTGATGTTACACTATCAAGATATGAAGTAAGGAAATTTTCTCTGAATTGAAAAGCAATGTTAACTAAAATAGAGGTCCTTAACAAAGAAAGAATATTCACATACTGAAGGAAGTATAAAATAAAGGTAAATGATGGAATGATTTAAAGGAAAAAGGAAAATTGGAGAAGGTAAAATGAGTGTTGAGAGGGTAAGTGATAAATCAAATAGAGAAGCTTAAAGCAATTCCCTAACCCCAATGACATCTTTTGGTGTCCAGTGCTACCAATTTAGACACATCTACAAAATCATCTTCCAAAAGATATTCTTCCTGTATAAACAAAGCAATGTGGAAACTCATATAAAAAATAATGAACTGGGGCACCTAGGGCATCTGACTCTTGGTTTTGGCTCAGATCATGGTCTCAAGGTCACAAGATCAAGTCCCACATCAGACTCCGCATTGAGTGTAGAGTCTGCTTAAGATTCTCTCTCTCTCCCTCAGTCCCTCCCCAACTCCCTGTCCCTCCCACTGTAAAAGAATAAAATAAAATAAATAATAATAATAAACTAACGTAAAATAAAATTAATGCCCCGTGCCTTTGTAGTAGTGCTTGTTAAAGTTTGGTTGAGGGTCACCTACTTTAGGAGAATCTTTCTGGTCCCTATCAAAGATTACTTTAACCCAACTCTTTTTCCAGGAACAGTGGTTTTAACAAATACACCTGAATCATTCCCGTGCTCCCTACAGTATAAGCACCACTGCTTTCTAGGACAAATCACAGTGGATAGGATAGGTGGGTTTATCAGCAATTGCAAATGGTTCTGCAATTAAGCCCCTCCCCTGTGTAGGCCTAAAATATTTTAGAACTATAGAATAAAAGATTTATTCTTGATTAGATATGATATGCATTTTTAATTGCAAAAGAGCAGCTGTAAAGCACCAGGTGTTTCTCTTACTCAAACGATTTTTTGTTTTCTTATCTGTTTTGAGGACAAAAGACTAGCTCTTGCACACATGAATTCTTACCCTGTAACTTTTCCAAATCTTTCTCTTTTTTGTATTTGTTCTCTGACAAAATAGCAAGGCCAACCCCTGGATATGTCTCGGAGGTTTTCTTTGCTGCAAAAGGTTAAATGCCACGTTTGTAATTTGGGCTTAATAAACACCCAAAATATCAAGAAACCTTTAAACACCTCACCTTAGTACAAGTGAGAAGCCCTGGCAGTCTCTCTCACCACTAGAAAAAGGGTCTGTTTTATTTTGTTGTTGTGTGTGTGTGTTTTAAATTTGCCTTCATCTCCCTAATTTCTACATCAGAATAGAAAAAAGTGCTCATTATGCTTTCACTCGTCCTTAGAGATGAAAAGAGATCTACAGAATTATAAAGTTGACCCAAAGCAAACACCAAAAGAGCTTAGAATTCTCACATTGGGGTTGACACTTGTGATTAGCTAAATTGCAGTAACTACACATGCCTCCATTCGGAACAGGATGCATTCACACTGCAGTTTCTTCTCTAGAGCCTAGCAACATTATCATTGAGCACCTGGAATAGTTTAGGCATTAAGTGTAATTGGTTTTGCTTTACATAAATCTGTAGCTTTGTAAATAAGCGGAGCATTTCAGCTTCTATATAACACCAATTAACTTAAAGGGATGTGTTGTTTGCAGAAGCCTGCTGGGTCTCTACTGTATTTCTCGGGTAATATGCTCAGTGGTGGGCAAAGTTCTGTGTCCCTGCACTGTTCCAATTCCTCCCAGTCACTCGGTGCCAAGGGTCTGTACCCACACTCATTTGCTCCATTTTTTCAGTTGTGAAAGATTGGGAAAATGAAGTCTTCCCGAAGAAGCGCCTTCTGTGCTCTATTTTTGTCCATGATTGAGACCTGAAAGGCAAGGTATTTGAAAATGTTTTCTGTGACCCACAGAGCACAGATCTGACCCCATCTGATTCTGTCCACAACTGACAGTGACATCTCTTGCCTCTTCCTTTTTTTCTTGTAACACTTCAAGCCAATGCAGCCAAATGTCACTACATTGAGCCTGTATACAAAATTAAGCAAACCATAATCTTAGTACATGAATTTGCTCATGAAAATGTTTCCATCAGAATGATTTTTTTAATAGTACTCCAAAATCTACTCTTGCAACTTAGTAAATTTTTCCAAGCTCCTTGGATTATTTTCCCCTCGTTATATCTTTACTCAACTTAATCCCTTATCTCTCGTATCCCCTCAGGTAATCTTGATTTACAGCATTCATTTCACCCTGGCCAACCTCTAATTCTCTTGGTTTCTGAAATTGTTTTATCAACCATCAGAGTAACAGTATCACCAAAAAACAGCTCATGATTCCAAAAAGTTTCCTATTAATACCATGTGATTCACAAATTGAGGGGAGAATCATCCTTCCCAAACACTGTCAGGATTCCTTGTTTTATGGACATAAACCTTCAAAATTAGTTTCCTGAACCAGTGCAGTGCTGAGCATATACCACCTCCACTGCAAGAGAAGCCAGTGTACAATTACCAGTATAGGCTTATGAGTAAAGCCCTCAAATAAAATCAACAGCCAAGTGATGACAGCACACAGGTGCTGCTAAAATGCAGGTCTGCTTGTAGAGAACCGGGAAATGAAAGGAACCACGAATAATAACAACTTACATCTATGTCACCCTTTACAGTTTACAGGTTGCTGTCACACATATCATCACATTTGATTAGCACCACCCCTCTGGGAGGTAGGCACATTTTGGCATGGCCATTTGGTAAATGAGGAATTACAGCTCTCAGACGTTAAGTGATTTATCAAGATTTACAGAAATAGTAGATGTCACAGACAGAACTTGAACCTTGGTCTTTCTGTCTCTAAGGTGCTAGCAACTTCTACAAACAGCACTCACAATGTCATCAACACTGGCTCATCCCCAACTGCTTAGACGAAATGCTCTCTACACCATCTAAAAGGAAACTAGAATGAGAGGAAAGATTATGGCAGGGTTAGAGACCCTGCTTAACAAAAAAAAACAAAAAACAAAAATACAAGGATCTTTTTTTTTAATTTTTTATTTATTTATGATAGTCAGAGAGAGAGAGAGGCAGAGACACAGGCAGAGGGAGAAGCAGGCTCCATGCACCGGGAGCCCGACGTGGGATTCGATCCCGGGTCTCCAGGATCGCGCCCCGGGCCAAAGGCAGGCGCCAAACCGCTGCACCACCCAGGGATCCCAACAAGGATCTTTCTAACATCTCTTCCTCCTCACCCAGCTTTGGTGAAGACATGAGCTGTCCTCACATGGATTATAGACTGTCAGAAGCACCACCCTGAAAATATGCACCCAGAGTGACCCCATTGGGCTGGGGGGGGGGGTCTTGGGCTCAAAAACATCCTTTCCTTCTCCCTTCATCAAAATGGTCTGGATGTGCTACAGTCAATCCCAAACCGCCTTGGAAAACAATTTGAGAAACACAAATTTGCCCCCCAAAATATTATTAATAACCGTGAAGATTCCTGTAGTACTTGCTCAGGGTAAGACACTGCTTTAAGAGAACAGTTTGGTATATTAGCTCATTTAATCATCACAACAACCCTAAAGCAAAGTCCAATTGTTAATCCATTTTACAGATAAAAATATGAAGCTTAGAGAGGGTAATGACTTCCCAAAGATTATACAGGCACTATGGCCAGAGTAGAAATTTAGACCTCAGAAGTCTGGCTACAAAATCCAGGGTCAAGTCCTTTCTATATACTGCTTCTCAGTACAGCTGTTGTCTACAGAAGATTTTTATATAATCTCAGGGGTATTCCAGGGAAAGCAATGCTTTAGCCCAATGGATTCCCATCTTTTTCCATCCCAACACATAAGAAACTGACTTCTTCAGTAAGTAATGGCTAGATTGATTCTTAACAAGCAATTCTTAACACCCCTAACTGCCCCTTCTGTGAATAATTACTGTCTCCTGCTTAAAGCCAAACACATGACTCTAAAGGGCAGAATTTCAGTCTTTGTGGCAGTGAATGGGTACATCTATCCAATGATTATTGTATGGCTACTTTCCCAGTGGTCCTTAAATCACAATGTAAGCCATCTGTGGCTCATATAAAGCAATCATTGTTAGATCAAGATGGGAGCCTGAGGTCAAGTAGGTTCTCTACTTCCTTAGCATCTCTACATACAGAGAAATCCCTGGGATTTCTCCCGGCCTGTTATCCAGTAAGTGTGAAATTGTCAAAGGTCGTCAAGGACAGTGACGGCAAGACTTGATTTCTCTGTCTTTTTCTTTCTCTTGTTCCCTCTTTCTTTTTCTGTCCCTCTTTCTCTGGCTGAGTGTCTCATTAAGATTGTCAACAGTAGAATGGATGCTATTTGACAGCCAAGATCACTTCCCTGGGTGATAAACTGTCACCAGTCCACACAGAGACCTTACTAAATATTAAATAATAATAATACCCAAACCCTAATCTATCATCCATCTTAGACAGGTTTGAATCATTTTTATTGACTGGGCATCCAGTTGTTA